TTATTTTTCACATGTAAAATAATGACCCATCCTGCCATACCACCTTTATGTCAAAACCTAAACTGAACTGGGTGCTGACTGTTTGCTAGAGAGCTCTAAATCACTGGTGGTCAGAAATGAGGAAATAAACCACTAGAAATTTTATTCAATATCTGCTCATTTCCTATGCTCTTCATTRTGATGCCTTTTGTATGGCCCCCCATGCCCATTGTAATGCTTTTTGTAGGGGTCATCAGACAAGGGCTTGACCCAGGTTTGGTCTGTGTATGTGATGTCCCTATAGATGTGTGTGTCRGTTTTGCATTTTTTGCACCTGATCACAAGAACAGACTAAGGCTGATTAAAGTGAAGGATGAGGGATGTCAAGGTAAGAGAGGAAGGGTGTAAAATGTGAAATGAGGAGTATGAGAACGTGAAAGATTGAGAAAGTGTAGTAGTTTAGAGATTAAAGAACCCAACAAATTATGGATCCTACCAGTCCTTGTGAAAGATGCTGATAGCTGGGATGAAAAGGAGATTCTAGTAAGAACCTGTTATGTTGTGGTTCGAGTATTTACAATTTGTGATCGAGTTGAAAAACTTGAACCTGCAGCTCAGAAGGGCTTCAGGAACTGTAAAAGAGTGAGTGAGCACTTTGCCCACTCATGTTTTTCACATGGGTGGTAGCTCCCACCTCAACCATTGCAGATTCTTTCTTTTTGTATGTCAACACTAACTCCACAGGTTGCTGAAAAACACAGCTACCAAAAGCATCTTTATCACCCACCGCTTTGTTTGTACTGTCATGTCTATAGATCCTCTGACAAGATTTCCATTGCATGAGGATTTTTGTTCTGTGACTTCTGACCACCAAAATCATCATTGTGCTTCCAAGGAACCATCTGTGCCTGCTCTTGACTAATCCCACTTTGCCCACAGCCCTTTCTGTTGGGTGCCTAAATCCTCAGCAGCCATAGCAGCATCTACCAGCTACGCTGCTGTTTCCTGGACCACATTTCTGCAGCCTAACATATTGCTCAGATTTATTTCATAATTTTTGCTTTTAATTCCTTCACCTCAAGCAGGCTTGGCAGCTTTCTGCAACCCAGTGCCTTTCATCAGTTCCCATCCTCCACTCTATCCATTGCCAACACCACCAACCTCCGTAGCTTTTAAAGCTTGTCCCACAAGGCATTTCTATGCCTTCTCTACAGACTGTTATGCTGTGGGAAAAAAAAAAAAATCTGTTCATCGCACCTCCACACTCAGCTCATTGAAATTGGTGCTAACCACTCAGTCTTGCTACAAAACCCTGGAAAAATATGAGGGAGGACTGGTAACAGAAATCAGAAGAGAATCTCCCAACCTTACTCTGCTATCAGCAGCACCAATATGTGTGGCTTATCAGATCCCTTCATGATCTTTTAGTTATCATCACCTTCATTCTTCTTCTTCCTTCCCCATCTGTTTCTGGTCTTCCAATCCTAGTTGATGCTGAATACAAATTAGACTCCTCAGCAGAGAAATCATTTTTTTTCCATTTATTTTGAACAGTGCAGCACATTTATGAATCTCATCTTTAAATATAGTTTAAATAGTTAATACACAGAGTTAATAAGTAGAGTTAATACTCTTGAAGACAGAATACAATCCAAGTTGGTTTTATRTGAAAAAATGTAGAGGGCAGGGAGCGAGACAGTAGAAGATTTGTAAACACTGGTTTAGTGGGGAAGTGTGAGATGAAATGCTACAGATCCAAATGTACATTGTATGAACTCAGAATCGATGAAACTGGTGGCAGTAAGAGAGACAATCTGAACAAGCTGTAATCTGTAAAAGTGCAGCTCAGAGAGTATTGGCCAGGTTTTTATKCCTTATCACGGAGCTTGCAGTTGCTTTCTCTCAGTATGAATAGCATTTTTTTCATCTAGAAAATCCCATTCTAGGCTTTTGCTTTTTCCTCACTTGTTACCAAATTAAAATCCTATTAAACTGCACACCTGCAGTGGATTTATCTGCAGAACACTGTGCCGTAGCTTTTAATCCAATTCCACACCTTCGTAGCATACAATATACTGCAAATCAGGGCACGAAGAGACTGAGGGTATGCTATTCCTAGCTCTGTTGGCAGAGAGCAAATCAAACACTTTGATTTGTTGGAAAGGGAGAAGAAAATAGGACATAGTTAAYTACTTGACTTATAGGAATGGTAAGTGTTCATCTGAGTGGTCTCTACAACATAGGATACAGAGATCAAGTGAAATCATTAACTAAAATGATCACAAAATGAGAGCAAAATCATGACCCTGATTGAATTCAGTGTCAAAATTTCTGCTGATTTTAAGAAAGCCAGAATTTCAGCATGAAAAAGCAGTCCCCATCAARAGAGAGACAGGCAGAGACTGTTTTGAAAATGGATAGAAGGGCTTACAGCAGACACACGAAGMGTGAGAAATGTGAATGATATGTTCAAAGTAGATGTGCCCTACTGTCAGACCTTTGCCACCCGATGATGAGCCCCAATGTGTCCCTCCTCTTGTTGGGTTTATTTGATGTAAAATAAGGCAGGGTATCTATAAAATACCTCAGGTTCRGCAAATAAGAATAGAGAAGACTTTTTTGTTCAATTAAGGGAAAAAATTGTTTACAATTCCGACAATCAAAATATTTGCATGTTTCTTTTCTAATTTTCAGCACATCCAGGTAATTTAGGAAGAGAAAATTTTTATATCATGTACTAAGTTGGACCTTCAAGTTGGAAGGGAAACACTTCTTACTCGAAAAATGGACTGTATTTCTTTRACTCCAATGAACAGCAAATCTTCAGAGAAAACCATCCTGACTTGAAAATTCTATATGCTATGCCATTYTTACTTTGTGATAGAAATTTAAGAAATACTATTTTCMTTCTCTTAAACTTAAGATCTTTTTTTAAAAAATTCTAAATGCAAAACTGGGCTAGCAATRCAGTTATTTTAAGTTGTCATGTGATTTGATTTAGATTATTTGAATAAATCTTCAGAAGAAAAAGGTGAACTATTTGTGGGTGTATTTTTCTGTTGTCATCCTGCCTGAGGTAAYTGGGATAAATTTATCTGGAAGCTACAGTATAAATTAATGACTCTGTGTCAATGCTGCTTTGCATCTACAGTGTTTAATTTAAAATTTATATTTATTGAATATAAAACCTACTACTAATCCTTATGTCTTAAGAAATTCCTGCGCTTTTTTTGCCATTTCTGCACTATACAAGAGRCAATATATCACATATAATTCTCTCAACTGAAATAAAACAGGCTGTATATAATGTTTCTATTAGATTATGTTCAGAACTAGGTTTTTTTGACTTGTTCTGTAAGTCAAGTACAAGATAAGATATTTATAAATAGAAACCCTGGCATCAATTCATATAAAATAGTAAATACAAACTATGAGATATACATCTTGCATGTATCAGATTGTGTGAGGAAATTCCCTGAAATGCCAGGAAAATGGGGGGTTTAAYTATTTTTGAAGAGCGTGCCTGCAGTGATTTTTCTGTGCCTGGCTGCTATTTCAAGAAGGGACAACTCCTTCGATATTTTAAGAAAGGACATATCCTGAATCAGAAAAAAAGCACTTATCAGGAGCTTAGGAAGCTTTCACTGATTTTGGGTTTGGAAATCTACATTGATTTTCTGCTTGTGTATCCATTCTTCTGTCTCAGCTCAAGCACTGAAGTGGGAATCAATTTTCAAAAGTGTGGTATTGCAGCAGATGTAGACAGGGCCATGTGCTAAAGGAAAAGGTAGTCATATATTCAATTCTGCTGTGAGATTAAGAGTTGGTGTCAAAACTATATTCTCTTGGGAAGTATCTTCACAATCAGAAAAATTGAWTTGGGTCTTAAGGCCCATTATACTCATTTCCATTATTCTTCAGGTTTTTATAGTGAAKATTAAAATGGAACAGGGTGTCTAGGAAAAAATATAAGCTAAAAATATTCAGTGTTCTCCAGTCCACTTTTATTTATTAGTTTCGATTCTAGATTAAGTGTACCTGTTCCCATGGCACAATTAAGCAGAAGCTGTATCCGTAGACTGATTTTGGAATSTGTTCCTCAGAGCTATGGAAAAGTTGGATCTGTTAGATGTACCTGAGAACCTTCTGACAGGCAAGGGCTTCTGTGAAATTCATTGTCCYGTTATTGAAGTTGTGACTTCCCGTTATTGAAGTTGTGTTCCTTAAGTAATTTGCATGAATGCAATGAAAGTTTGCAAGCATATGTTTTAAAGAATTAGAGCTTTGCATGGCCATATTGAAGGGGTCTACTGCCAAGAAGGGAACTGGATGCACACATGGCTTTAATAAATTGGGTTACTGATAGAAACTCATATACATGCAAATCTTTGCCTCATTAAAACGTCGCCTGCCAAACGCTAAAAGCAGCTCTATGTATTTGTATATCAAAACATATCCTTGCAAGTACCAAACAAATGCTGCCTGCCACCTCGGACTTGGGGTGTTGCAGTGACTTTASCCCAGTGCCCAAACGAAGCCTTTCTTGCAACGGAGATGTTCACATGGACACTTTCCCTCGGGGGCTCTCTCTGTTTCAATAAACGGAGAGGTCGCGCCGCCTCCGCCCGGACAGCTCCATCCGCTTGCTTTTGAGGCGCGTGTAGAGCGGTCAATATGTGAGATACCTGCCGGGCCAGCGGCTCCAGCAGTGTCCCAGGTCCCCACAAGGACAGGCAAAGGCAGGGATCCCGCACGGAGCCGCGTGTGGGCTGCGAACCGTGAGGGGCCCAGAGCTGCGCGCCCGGCGAGCCCCGCCGCGGGGGCGGTCCCGGGGGTGGCCCTGGCAGGTGCGGGCGGTGGCTCCGGCGCGGTACCGGGTCAGGGGCAGGACACCGAGGCGTGACAAGACTCCCGGGCGGTCCGGGGCTGCCGCGAACGCGGGTAGCGGAGAGGGGGCGGTGCGGGGCGGGCGGCGGCCGCGGGAGGGCGCGGCGGGAGCGGCGCGGGCGCTGCCGCAGAAGATGTCGGCGGGGCGGCCGTGGCCGTGGTGGCTGCTGCCGGCGCTGCTGTGGGGCGGCGCGGGGGGGTACGTGGTGGTCAGCTCGGTGTCGTGGCCGCTGCCCGAGGCGGGGGCGGCGGCGGACGAGCTGCACAGCTCCTCCACCGAGGAGGCGCTGCCCGCGCTGCTGGAGGAGCCGGGCGGCCTCTGGAAGCAGAGCTACCCGGCCTCGGCGTACCGGGAGGATGCGGCGCTGGGCTCCGGGCCGGCGGCGCGGCGGCCGGGCCAGGGGGCCGCCCCCTCCAGGATGTTCTCCTACCGGCGGGAGGGCGGAGGGGCGCCGGGCCGCGCCGGGACCGCCCGCTTCCTCGCCCGCCACAACAGCTGGGGCTTCGTGGCGACGCGGGCCGCCCGAGGAAAGGTACGGTGCCCACGGTGCCCCCGCCACGCGTTACCTGCAGAACCAGCGGCGGAAAGCCCGGAACAGAGAAATCGTGCTCAGAGCGCAGTGAGGGACGATGCACGCTAAAAACCGCATCAGAGAGGCACCAAAAAAAAAAAAAAAAAAAAAAAAGCAAATCTCTAGGCTAGAAAGCAGACCTGCATCGCAAGGTTTGGAACAGGATTTCCTCAGAATGGTGAGGAAGAGGAGGAGGAGAGCCTGCTGGGCTACCACAAAACCTGTCCGTCCCTCCAGCTATACCACCTTAAAGGACGATTTCTCTGTCAGGAACATGAAACAAATTAGCTGGGCTGCATCGGAGAATTGGGGTAATTATTTTTTCCAGCTGTAAAATACTTCCATTTTTAAAGTGAAAGGTTGAGATGAGACACAGCATCCATAACCACTCAGATAAAAGGAGTGTTTAAAAAGGAGTGTTCTCAGATAAAAGAGATTTTTTTAAAAAAAATACATTCTTAATTCTCTGTTGAAAGTATTCACAGATTAATTAGCTTACAATTTTAAATTAAACATTTAAAAGCACATAAGTCTTCAGAACGTTTAGCTAAGTTAGTGGCAGTTTATGTTACTGTGAAATACAAAGTAACAGGTTGAAAAAAAATACTATTAAGTAAGTAGGTACATAGGCACAAGAGGCCTGTAATTCTACATCAGCGTTTAGAAATTGTATTAAAACATATGATCGTAACTCTTCTGGTTTATACTCAGTGGAATTACAGTCATAATACAGTCTGCAGTTATCTGCCTCCAGACAGAACGCAGAAGTAATACAGAAAAATCTGATKCATAATAAAATTTTAAATTCGGGGGGTGGTGTTTGCCGCTTTGAATGGTGTGCTATGCTGCCTGTGATCACAATTATTTTTGAGAATCTGGAGTAACATTAACCTTGCATGACAGACTGAGCATTTTAAGCAATGGGAACATGTCCTACAATATTACTGAGAGCTCTTTTTCTTTCATTGTAACTTTTGAAAATAAACAAGTATTTTTATTTTCTAAGTTATGTAAAATCATTAAAGCATTACTTCTAAGGAAAGTCAACAAAGACCATTTACAAGCACTATAAGCATTAAAATTTTAAAGGCATATGAACATTTAAATTCAGAAAGCATGCAACCCAGCTAACAATATTATCCAGGGTTTTCTTATTAACTATTCATATTTAATTTGATTTTGGTGTAAAAGATTTAATGTATTGACTGATAATGTTTACTATTTAACTTCTAATAGACCATGAGGAAAGAAATCTCTGAAGATATGAAAAAAAGCATAATTAATTTAATATATGTCATTGCTATTTATAATGGGATGAAAAGCATAGTAGAAGTATATGTTATTATGAAGGATAGTCACTACTGGGCAAGGACATTTTTGCATGCATTATAACCACTGTGTGTACACAGATCAGTGCATGGGAGAAAACTTTTTGAAAACTTGGCTGCTTAGTGTCCTCTCTCTGCTGTGGGAGGAGGTTTTACTCTGGCTGTCTTAGTAGTTGAGATTTCTCCCCACTCCCAATCTGATGTTCCTGCYCAGGAAGCTGAGCTGATGTCCAGTTGGACTTTAAACTTCTAGTTAAAATGCTTTCTTTTTTGTTTTGGCAAACCAATGCAATCACATTTCAAGTCAAAAGCAAAACAGGAGGCAGTATTAGAGTAAAAAGCAGGCTGAATCAAGGCCAAATTAGGCTCTATATCCTTTTGGGTTTGAGGAAAGCTATCAGCATTGGTTTAGAGTAAAAATTTCCTGACATTGATGGCATTGATTTTCATGCACTTAAACATTTTTAATTTGGTAGTTCCTTTAAGCTTAGTGGAAGAGAAAATGTTCTCTATAGTGTCACAGACAGGACTAGAGAGAAGAAATAGAGGGGAGATCTGTTTTCATAGAAGCATAATAGACCTAATTTAGAGGAGGTGGATCTTATTTAGAAGAAATGCTGCCAATGATGACAACGGYAAGTGGGATCACTGGGGCTGGCTCTGCTAGAGCCCTTGAGGGAATCCCCCMCACTGTAAACTGTCTATGTGCAAATATGTAACCAGCTGCTTGTTTGGATTTTGCAGATCCAAGGTATGCCCTATGGGAACTGTTTACTTCTCAGCGATGGTCCCGTCAATAACAGCACTGGAATCCCTTTCTTTTATGTGACACCAAAGGATAGCACTGTGACAGATCTTCTGAAGAATCCCATGGCTTCTCTGACCCTGCCAGAGGCAGATGGAAATTTCTGCAGGTAACAGTTTTATCTGTCTCCTACCACCTTCAATTAGAACAGACCTCAGAACAAAATGCTGGGTTCCCACCTGCTTCAATGCCCTGCATTTATTTTTGGCTCTCAGCATCAGCTACATACTCCTTCCTAGGTTTGTTTTGCAGTAAGTTGCCCTGGTAAAGYATAGAGAAAAGCAGAGGTGTCACTGATGTATATTGTAGTGGCTGGAGTGGCTTTCAGCTTTAACATGCCTAAATTTTAATCTCTTCTTGGAGGTGCCTACATAAAATCTAGGTGTTCAAGATCTCATAATAGTCTATAGTGATCTAGTCAATAAAATCCATAGTTTCAGAGGCTGTCCAATTCACAGTAAGGCAGGCAACTTTGCTCTGCTGAACAGCCCTGGAGGCCCTGCTGAATGCCTTGACAGGGTTCCAGCTCGCTGGGTTCTGTTCTCTGGCTYGCTGGGTTCTCAGGCTCTCAGTTCACAAGGTGTATGCTCAGGACTGTTTTCTGTCAGATGGTATACTCAGTCTGTTTTCCACCTCTTCTGAGAATATGATTGAATRTGATATCTTTGCAAATGTTTTACACCTTGTATATCACCAACAGATGATAAATGACCCACCAAATAAAGAAAGTCAAGTCTGAGGTTTACCAATCTACATCTAGTCGCAGSTTCTTCTCTCCAGAGACAGCAGTGAGTTCTTCTTAATTATATCATAGACCCTTAGAATCAGAGAATGGTTTGTGTTGGAAAAAACTTTAAGGGCCATCTAAGTCCAACTTCCCTGCCCTGAACAGGACACCTTCCACTAGAAGAGGCTGCTCAAAGCCATGGCCTTGAACATTTCCAAGGATGGAGCATCCACAGCTTCTGTGGACAGCCTGTTCCAGCACCTCATCCCCTTTACAGCAAAGACTAACATGCAATCAAAACCTACTCTCTTTTAGTTCAAATCCATCATYCCATTGTCCTGTCACTACATGCTCTTGTGGAAAGTCTCTCCCCAGCTCTCTTTCAGGCTTCCTTTAAGTACTGAAAGTCTGCTTAAAAGGTCTCCCTGGAGCCTTCTCAGGGCTGAACAATCCCAACTGCTCAGCCTGTCTTTGTAGGAGAAATACCCCATCCCTGTGATCATCTTCATGGCCTCCTCTGGACTAGCTCCAACARGTCCGTGTCACTCTTTGTGTATAATGAATAACTTCAGATCACTGAAGCTTTACACATGTAAAATGTATGTATGTAAACTCAAAGATGATTCAGTTTTTCCCTCCATTCTTGTCTCCTTGAAAAAGACATGTCTCTACCATATGTTTGTTTACAGTCAAACATGTGGCAAACTTGGCTGGGTCAGCCTTSTGTGAAGTGTTTTTTACAAAGGCCTCTTTACGTGACGAGGTACATGACACCGAAATTGTGTCAGACAGGACTCTGTTAYCAAAGCAGGTCTTAGCTCACTCTCSAAGGAGAGAGARAGAGAATTGGTAAGAACASACTCCTTCRGAAAGAAATGGCATTAACAGTTTTTATTCCAACCTAAGGTCCTCTTTGGGGAAGGAGAGATTTTATCTTAAGAGCAGATTTCCCCAGCTGAGAATWGCCTTGAGTATCATCCCACCTCTCAAGCCTGCTTGCGGAGAAGAAACCTTGGAAAAGCAGGGAGTGGCAAATATAAAACATTACTTGTTATAATGCTTGTCTGAATTTGTCTTCAGAATATATTGCTTTGTGAAAATTACATGATAGAAAAATGAAATGTTTCTGAGTCCTAAGCAGTACAAGTAATTTCAGGCTGACGTCCTATTCCCAAGGAATGGAAATCATGGCTTCCTTTCACAATGTCAAACACCTAATAGGAACAGCATTTATTAAGTTAATTTAGTTTTGAGTGCTTGAGGAGGTCAGTGAAGTAGTGAAGTTAACACTGGAATGGTTCTGCTTCTTGCTTAAATATTTTCATTAAATATTTTGGATTAATAATTTAGAAAATAAATACATCCATTCTTTGAGTGCACGCTTAATGGTGTTTATTCCTTTCTAAGCTTTTTCATTCAGTCTAATAGTAAACTCACTATCTAGACCAAGTGCTTAAAATGTTTTTTAAGTCCTATATTCTACTACCCAATGCCCTATTTTTAGAGGCCCAAGGTCAGGGCAGTTTCCATGGATAATAACTGGTAGTGTTGAGCACTTCTGAAAACTACACACCCACCGAGACACTTAAGTGTGGCCTTTGATCCCTGACTTTAAACAGCCACTCTTGAGAGTCTTTGCCTTCTRTGGCTTAGCAACATCACTGCCCAATTTACCTGTTTGGGAAGAGGCACTTCACCACAAAAGAGAAATGCTGCATGTTTATAGAAATATGAAATCCATATATTCACAAACCTTTGAGGGTATGCATTCGATGTCTTTTTATTATGCCACTATTAATTTTCAAACCACTACCCTTTTGATGAGTGTGCCATGTATTTGCTGCTGCTTATTTTGCAGCCAGGATTCTGTCACCTGAMTCTAGGCCCCTCTGCAGCCTGAGATTGTGCTCTCTGGTGAGAAGAGCTCTCTGGACACTGCCAAGAAGCTAAACTCGGATTTCCAAAACAGCTTAGGCCAAACTAATTACCATTTGCCACATCCTTGTTTTCCCTCCTTAYCACTAGTCATGTGCTACCCTTCCCCCCATCAGTTCTGGGCTTTGCCTCAGCCTGAGCTGAAATATAAATCTGAAGAAAATTAACCTGACAGTGAGAGTAAGTTATTTTGCCTTCTTCTTTTCATCCTGTGGCCAGTACTGCTTCTGGCCATGCAATCCCACCCCCTCCCTCCAGCTGACCATATGGTGGGCCTATTTTAGCTCAGTAACCCAGCAGAAACCTTTTTGTTTTTTCTGGATGAGATCTTTACTTAATAACTTGAATCAGCTCCTCAAGAGCCAGAGAAGAACAAAGARAAGATGAAAGGAAAAGAGAARGTGGAGAAAAATAGGATATTCTCATTTTAGCGTGTAACCATACTCCAAATATTGAACTTACTGCTGAATTGAGTACACAGATTCAGGGTCTGATCAGTGTTCCTTGCATTATTTATTTTGGTTTTACATTCAGTTTTTCATTATTTCTGAAGTTCTCATCTGGAACCAATGTTGGTTGGTTTTAGTGCAAAAAGCGAGCAATGTGGACAATGAAAAATTGGGTCTTTAGTTGAGCTGCAGTTTTTGTTTTTGATGATAKGAGAATGTGAGCAAGCTTTGAGGCTGGCTCACAGCAAGGAAGTGTATGAGCACTGGACTTTGACTTTTTTCTCTTCCCATATCACCAGACTCAGAAATTAATGTGTTTTAAACTAGCAATCCATGACTGATTTTTACAYTGAAGCCCTGCACACCACCCCATTGTTAACCCACAGAAAGGGCTTCTGCAGGCAGCACAACACAAAAAAAACAACTGCCCAGGTGTCTAGGCCCTGCTGCCACTGCTTGGAGTAGCCCATCCCCAGCTGTAGGGTGCGCTTCCCCTGCTGAGATAGGCAGGCTRTGCCTTGCAAACAGCACACAGCATSCTTAGTGCAGAGCTTTATRTGGTGGCTCAAGTTTGGTACAGCAAAAGTCTCCTTTACTCACACTATGTGAGAGACAAGACCTTTCACTCTGAGACTTCAAGTCCTGATAGTATGAAAATGGTATCTGTGATGTTTTMTTTGCAATGGAAAATGTCATTCTTGCCAGACATTCTCTTCATTCTCTCTCATTCTCTTCAAGTGCATCATTAATTGTTTTGGTTTCAAAATAATTATGCAAAATAGCTAAATGAATAATGTTCTACACGAGGAAGTTTTTGTCCTTGTATGCCAGCAATGCATTTGTAGCCTGTTYTTATGTGAAACTTTATTGGAGTTCCATTATTAACCTAGTCTGAGTTGCCAGAATGAAAATAAATGTGAAAGCTGATGAGTGGCTGTAGTCAATGCTCCTGGGAGTATTTGGCACTCTCCTGAAAAATGCTTCTGACCTATTGCACGCAGAAGAAATCTCTGTCCTTTAGAAAGAAAACATAGCTGACATTTCAATGTCTTCGTGTACCTAATGAGTTTCAAGTGACTTGTGTACACCAATTTGATATTAAATTTATTTAGTAGCAAATTTCATTTGTTTTGTTTCAGAACAGACTCAAGTTCCAAACCTTGACAATAAATATTTTCCCTTTCAAGGATGTGAGGAATACAGAGTGGCCTTTATGGTGCTCCAGCCTCAATATTTAATCAGCTGGAGAAAAAATTTGAAAATCCTAAACTAATAAGAAAAATAACATTTAATGTTGAAAGAAAGAGAGCTGCAACAGATTTGACTAGGCACTAATTGCAGATATTTTAGCATTGCAGCTACAGTCTGGATTCCTCATCTCTGGCCTAGAGATTGCCGTTTCCCAGAGGGAGACAGGCTGCCCCTCTCTGAGAAGGCTCTGATGGCCAGGATAGCGACAGCATTTGTTAGCAACTACACAGCATTCTATCTGAAAGCTGATAAATGGATAATAGAGGCAAGAAAAATTAAATGGTTCAGGGCTATAAATAGACTAAGCTGGTATGTCTGTGCCACTGACAAGCTGAAAAGATTGAGTCCCATTCTTGCAGCTTTCAGAAGGAGCAAGACTAAGCCCGACATTAAAGAATAGAGCAGCTATTGTTCTAAACACATTTCCCAACACACAGGCTGCTCAGAGGATCCCTCTTTCCAAGTAAGTTCCTGAGTCGGCCTCATTACAGCTGCAGCCTGGAAAATAGGCAATTAATTTTAAACATGTGTTGCCTCCTTGACATCAGGTTCAGATCATTCAGAGGGACYCACTGCGGCTTTCTTGGAGAAGGAGTTGGTTGCATGGCTGCCATGAACTGGTTTTCATTCAAAGGGAAAAGCAGTGAGCTTTGGWGTGTCTTCATTTTTGGTTTTTTTCTGCTATTAGTTTGGAGGATGGTGTTTCAAATCCACACTSTGGACTGTGAGTGATTTGGATGAATTCAG